AGTTTGGTCTGAGTCCAACATAATTAGAAATATATATTTGAAACATCTCCAACCGATTATATTAGAATTCAAGAAGCATAACGCACCCTATGTATTTTACCAATAAGAAATATAAATTAAACAGCTTGAATAAAACCTGACGACTCTATTCTCGATACATTAACATTAATCGTTTCTTATGTATGTTATTAAAAGCCTATAACTTTAAAAATTGTAGGATACATAATAAATTATTAATTTCTTCTCTAAGCTGTATGGTTTACGGTTATCAAGTTTTATTCTCTTCAAAAAACATAGTTGGACTTTTATAAGTAGACATAGGATATAAAAAAAAGCATTTTTAGTATGGTCAGAAAATAGCTCTTTGTTCTTGGACATGGAAACAAATAGGAAAAGGGAAGAAGTTTTGATGGTGTTCTTAATCACAGACATAAGTTACTGGACATATACTACTCAAAGTTTGTCACATTTGTTTATGTTTTTAGACATGGTCAAAAAATACCACAAGAAAGATTTTCACAAGTCTTGTTTTTGGATTTGACCATAAACAGATAACTTGAAAAATGTTTCGTTAAGATATTGTTTTTTAACATGGGCACAAGAAGACTAAGGAATAAAATAGGGTTTGCTCTTGGACATTGATTTTTGTCTGTTTGCTTTAGTGTAAAGTTGCACAATGAGCTATCTCTGCTGTTTTGCTGGAGGAATCAAACCCTTGGACTTTGAAACAAACAAACATGTTATATTTCCAAAAAGTTTTTTTGGTTTTTATATGAAAAGTTCAGTAAATAAAAGTGTTTTTTGTTAACGTAACACTGTATATTGTTTTTGAAGATGAACGCAAAAATTAAAAGAAATTGTTAACAAGCTTATTGTTCTTAGACACAAATTTCAAATCCATGAAAAGTTTCTAATCATAAAAGTAAGACATAAACTCAAATCAAACATCTTAAAATCTTCTAGGCTCGTAGAAAATGACAAACAATGTATTCAAATATAGGCAGGTGTGTTTGTTCGTTTAAAAAAAAACAAAAACAAAATTCAGTTCAAAAAACATTTTTGTTCATGAAAACTGTCAAGAAAACTTTATTTTAAACTTTTTATACAAAGAAGATAAGAAAATTACCAACAAATTCATTGTTGAGGAAAAGAACACGTAGTATTGGACGCAAGTAATTATACTTCTTTAGATTAAAGAGGCCTGCGATGGTTTTATTG